ACTCTTTGATTCTATGATTCTATGACTTGGATGTGTGTGTCAGGACCAGGCGTTTTGCGGATTCAGCAGGCATTGCCAATTTTGGGGATGAGGTTCTGGGTTTGAGCCTGCCACTTTTGGACTCTCGCTTGCTGAGGTGTTCCAGCGAGTGTCTCTGTAGACCTTAGAAAACTATTTCTCGATTTAAGTCGTTGGCGTGCTGGCCGATACCCAAACTAGGGATGAGCTGGAGATGTGGCTGAGAGGAAATATGATAGCTATGTATAAATATGTGAGAGGAAGCCACAGGGAGGAGGGAGCAAGCTTGTTTTCTGCTTCCCTGGAGACTAGGACGCAGAACAATGGCTTCAAACTACAAGAGAGGAGATTCCATCTGAACATGAGGAAGAACTTCCTGACTGTGAGAGCCGTTCAGCAGTGGAACTCTCTGCCCCGGAGTGTGGTGGAGGCTCCTTCTTTGGAAGCTTTTAAACAGAGGCTGGATGGCCATCTGTTGGGGGTGATTTGAATGCAATATTCCTGCTTCTTGGCAGAATGGGGTTGGACTGGATGGCCCATGAGGTCTCTCCCAACTCTTTGATTCTATGATTCTGTCATTCTTATTGCATCGTTTTTGTTTATTGCTTTCTTGTTTTATTGATGTGTTGTTGGGCTTGGCCTCATGTAAGCCGCTCCAGAAGCTGGATGGACATCTGTTGGAAGTGCTTTGAATGTGACTTTCCTGCTTCTTGGCAGAATGGGGTTGGACTGGACAGCCCACAAGGTCTCTTCCAACTCTAGGATTCAATGCGGAGCCATCTTTGCCTTTCCCACCATGTTTCTGTCTGCAATGTTTCTCACTGACGAAGCCTCCTGCTTTTGCAGATCAGGTGGACGTCGTGCAGCGAGAGGAAATTGACCAGACTCAAGAGAAAATTGCGTTGACTCTCAAGAGCTACATCGACCAGCGACACCCGCTTCCCGAAGGGAGGTGAGTGGGGTATTATTAGGAAGCAAGGGGGGTGCACCAGGTGTATGCAGGGATGATGGCACCTGTCATTGGACAAAACATGGACCAGAGAAATGGACAATGGCCCATGGAAAGGGGGGAAGGAAACCACAAAAGCAGCCACGCTTTCCTCGCCCTCCCTTTTCTCTAGGTCCCTGTATGCCAAGCTGCTTTTGCTGTTGACGGAGCTGCGGACGCTGAAAGTCGAGAACACCCGGCAGATCCTCCACATCCAGGACTTACGCTCCATGACGCCACTGCTTTCAGAAATCATCAGCTGAAAGCTTGGAACGCTGTCGTTTGGTGGTTTGGCTTTGCAAGATAACATGATCTTGATCGGGGCCATCTGTTGCCCTCCGCTGCCTTTTGGACTGCGTGTTCCATTAGCACTATCCAACAGTCAAGAGGAATGGTCATTTCATGTGTTGTCGAAGACTTTCACGGCCAGAATCACTGGGTTGCTGTGAGTTTTCCGGGCTGTATGGTCTTGTTCCAGAAGCATTCTCTCCTGATGTTTCGCCCACATCCACAGAGTAGGGCTGGGCAACCACGGAAAAATTTGTTTCTGAAA